TTTTTTTCTGCTTTTCTGCTCTCTCTGTTTCGTTCTAGTATCTGTCACCACCTTCCTCTGATTAATGCAAAATCATATAACAATATTTACATTTGTAAATCAAGTACAGAAGTGCATCTGCATCTGTTTACAACGCGTGTATTAGTGCGCACACAAAAAGAAACGTATGCGCACACGTCTGTACATGTATATTGCACGGTAAAAAAATCTTGTCACCTGTGCTGATTGTACTATGGGAAATCAGTGCATGAATGGAAGGGAAAACAACATAAGCAAGTCGGACTATAACCGACCATATCACGGAAAATAAGGACTGGTTGATACAAACAACTGCCCCATCTCTTTCAAACACTGACTGTCAACAAGTCTGTGGCAGAAGATATCGTTAAGCATGGGTCTGGAACTCCGTGTCTCTGTCTCCTTTGAGAAAGAATTCTTCCCCTAGCTGTGGAAGAGATCTTCAGGTGTCGATGTCGACCTCGAGCATGGCTTTGGTCGCACTCTCGTCCGGCTTGCCGGTCGGCACGCTGACGATGTGCTGCGCGCCGGGCGACACCACGACGGTTCGTCCTGTCATACTGGTGTTGCTTCGGCTTTCGTATGCGCAGTTGCTTCGTGCAGGCGCCTCTACGAGACCCATCATGATCTTGATTTCCTGCTTAAAGCCGTGGTTGAGCACGACCAGGAACAGGACGTGGATGATGTGCTCGATCAGCTGGAAGACATTGCCGACGCCGCGGAGGACCTCCTGCGGGTGCTCGCCCCCGCAGCGGTTCTCCGTCTTCTTGGCAAACACCATGATGTAGAGAGTGATGGGAAGCGTGAAGAGGATGTAGGACGCCGTGATGGCGATCATGATGAAGATGAGCTTCTTCTCCGACCTTCCTGCGGCCTTCCCCTGCGTCTTCGGGTGCCGCACGCGGCCCTTCACCACCGCCACGATCATCCCGACGTTGAACACGACCATGAGGACGCTCGGGATCCAGCGGACATACAGGCCGAAGAACACCCGGTAGACCTTGTGCCACGTCTTGGTGAAGTCGTACTCGTAGCCGGTGATGCCGTCCCACTCCCCGTCGGCGCACTCGGCGTCGTCGGGGTCCTCGCCGGTGCACACCACGGCCGCCTTGATCATGTAGGCGAGGTGCGAGAAGAAGCTCGTGATGGCCGTCACGATCATTCTGTTCCTGAGGACGTTGGGCTTCTTCTGCAGGCGTGGGTACAGCTGGTACATCCACACGGCCATGAAGCGGTCCAGAGCCAACCACACGATAATGTACGTGCCCAGGGCCTGGCTGACGCCCACGAAAGTCCAGCCGAAGTGGGCGTAGTAGAAGGCCTCCGTGTACGAGTTGAAGACGCATCCTGTTATGGTCGTGGCCACCGGGATGTAGAAAAAGCACACCATCAGGTCCGAGATTGCCAGCAGGAGGAAGTACCTGCAGGCCATAGAAATGGGGATACGATTAGTATGCATCTTTTTGCCGCTTCAGTTTTGCACAGAAGTTTTCTTTTAAGAACATCAGCTACAACTGGACTTTTTTTTTTTTTTCTGCTCGTCCAACTAGGATTTCCGTCAACACGTACAGCGCTAGAATTATGACAATAATGTAATTTCAATTTTATATTTATCCAATTCCTCCAGTGTTATATGACTATATTTGTATCATCATTTTGAAAAGGTGACAAAGGAAATTGTCCAAAATGAAATAAAAGTGGAAAAATAAAGAAATAACCATCACTCATTATTAAAGAAACTAATTAACATAGAATATGGGAAAATAATTTCAGGAAAAATATGAGCATTGAATCACTTAACTCGATTCTTTACTTAGAAATGGACATGCCATCGCTTGCTGTCTCTTTCAACTTTGAATCACATTCTTTCCTTTACCTATACGACCTCATAGACTTCTATCCCTTAAAAAATCAACCTCGTTTTCTGCAATCTTGGTCTTAATATTTCTTACATGTATAGAAAGCATCCTATCTTGTTTCTGTTTTTGCTTTGTCTTTAATTGATATCAAGTCCCCCCCAAAAACACTTTCATACACCTCTTCTATAATTCATATCTTCCTTATACAACTCTTCTGCAATTCCCGTTTTCCTAAATCCTATCCATAACAATGCAGGTTGAAGAAAAGAAAGAGGTATCCCGTCTCACCTGTTGACCCGAGCTGACCTCAACCTAGGTCGAGCCAAGACCACGATCGCAGAGCCGTTAATCAGGATGCCCAGGGCGATGAAGAACGGGAGGACGATGCGGTAGACGACGTAGTGGGCGGTGTCGACCTCCATGATTGATTTCCTGGAATAACAAATAATGTCAATCTTTGTCCTTCTCGGATCAGAGGGTTTGGGGGACCGATTCCTCGTGTTAAACGGAAAAGGTCTCGACAAGAGTGAGAGAGAGAGAGAGAGAGAGAGAGAGAGAGAGAGAGAGAGAGAGAGAGAGAGAGAGAGAGAGAGAGAGAGAGAGAGAGAGAGAGAGAGAGAGAG